TACCATTATGAAAAATCTCTAGATTTGCTTTGCAGATTTTTGGTATCTGAACTAATCTGAGGAGCCAAGATAAAGCAGGAATCAAATGTATTACGTTTACTAGACTCTACATTCTATTACAAAACATCGATATCTAGGATAAATTTATATTTCATGTTTGTGATAGAAGAACATTAAAAAAAAAAAAGATTTATCTGGGAAAAAAGTAAGTATTTTTGACAGCCACATACTAAAGGTACTCCTTTACCGTCACCAGAAATAGTATATTGAGAATTATCTGATTGTGTACAATGTAGTCCATAATGTTACTATACAAATGAGCCTTCACAGGTTAGTAAATATCTTTCTTAAGTTCATCAGTTCACCAAATTTATGCAATAGCTGTCACTTGAAGAAATAATTCATAGAATATTCCAGGTCCAGACACCAGTACTCCTAAGACAAATTTATAAACAGAGTTTTTGCTTTGCTAGATGTGGAATATGTAACTTCTTATTCATAGATTTTAGTTACTTTTGGAAGAACTCGAAGATCACAGAGGAACAGAAATAACAACTTAAAAGTAAAACAGAAACAAATAATTTTCTCCTGTAGCAGATAGGGTACTGAAATCTTTAAAAATATATGTTTAGCAGTATGATGAATCACTCATATTGCTAGGAAGGGCAAACTCATATACATAAAATAAACCCAAACCTTTGCTCGAATTATCAAAATTTTTTTGATACCACATTTCATTTCTACCGTGACAGCAACTGTAGAGAAACAGACTGAGATGGGCCCTTTCCATAGTTGTCAAACATGGTCAAGGGTAAAAAAGTGGCACTTTCATGAGAATAATTAATGTAGCTTTTACATAGAATTTATTTTCTAGCCTTGTGCTAGATACAATTTGAGCCAAAAGCTTTTCAGATTAGAATTATTCTGCTATTTTAGGTTTTTTCGAAGAAAGTACACCTTGCTGTAGAATACAGAACCAGAACAAGACCTAAAAACCCAGAAGGATTGACTAGACAGTTATACCAACACTTTTTACCATCAGTCATTCATTCAGATAAGTGTATACAAACAGAAATAAAAATGCTCAGCTTTAAAGAAATTCCCTCTTCATATGGATATAAAAATGTGCAACATTTGGATATTTCAAATGTGACGAGTTAAAAGGAAAACTCAGTAGCTGGCTTTAATCAGTTACCGTGGATCATTATGGCTCTTGCATATTCCACTTTGACTTCTGCATAATTCTATTTAGATCAATAAGGCTAGATTGGAATAAAACTAGATTATGACATCGGTGAATCAGGCCCCTTATTTTTGACACATTTAAGCTTTTCATGAAAGACCAGATGGTTGGTATATGTTATGTAGTTTTATTCAGATGAAATTTAAAAGAACTAAAATACTCGGCATGCTTTTATTATCGGCATGCTTAGTGTGTCACTTAAAGAAATCTACAAAGGGAGATAATGAGCCTTGTCAACTGTTTCACAGTAATTATAGCCCTCATGATATAATGCTACAAAATTACAATATAGCTTAAGATAATAAAATGTAAAAGGTTTTTTCAATCAGGAAAAAAACCTATTGGTAACATTTATGCAGGAAAGGGATTCTTTCAAACAGGTAACCATCAGTATATTAGACATGCAATCAAGTATAATAAAACCAAATTCTGTCAGTGTTTGATCCTGCATATTGTCCAAAATTTATACGGTATATTTTAGTTATGTTCATCCCACAAACCTTACAGATTTTCACAGGGTTTGCTAGTTCATTTAAATATTTAATATTAAAACACTATAAAGCTTCAGACACTTGCTTCAAATATTGCCTTACAGCTCTCGAGCGTTCAGCTCAGCATTTTTTTGGCGTACTTACGGTCATTGCATAATGGTCCACTAAAGGAGGTCATACTACAGTCACAACTGAATCCATCCCACTGCTGTAAGCACACTCCCTGGTTTGCGCATGAATCCTCTTGGCACGTGGTGCTGGGGCCTGATGAGAACATACAGAAAAGGACTTGCACTTTGTCTTCCAAAGAAAGGTATTTCTCAATGGATCACATTAACTAGTTGCCAACATCTCAAATCAAACGAGCAAAGAGTTACCAAGTAAAACGCACACAAACTGGCCGATTTTTGTAGCAGAATGTAATATTAAAAAGGTGGTTTTGCTTTAATTTTAAGATTGGTATGTCAAACACGTAAGAGTACACAAACTGAAGCAAAGTTATTCCAGGTACAGTGGGAACGTTAACTTTGTTGCAAGTTATTTGTTAATCTCATGTCAGACCATTAACTGGCTAAATGTTTTCTACAAACTTCAGCATTTTTTTTTTTCCTGTAAATACATTTCAAACAGCAAAGCCAGATGCCACAGAAAGCAAAGCTCTAGGAGATGAAAGTAAAGATTGGAAAGTAAATTTAAAAAAAAAAAAGAAAAAAGAAAAAAGAAATGAAACTACACTATACAATGCTTTTAATCCCACAAATTATTTTAAATGATTTAGGTCTGAAATTAAAAGGAGTTTGGGATTCTTTGGAAGGAATGTTGGCAAGTACTGATTCACATGCTTCAGGGATCCCATGCAGGTTCGTTTTTTAAGGGGAAATGCAGAAATTCAGACAACTAATGAACTGGCATGCCAAAATATGACATATGCATGAGAAACAAAGCTACTCTATTTCTAGAGAATCATAACTAGACTACTGAAATATAAATAAATTTGAAAAGGAATGATCAAAGCACTAAAGCAATCACTATACAAATATATTCAAGACTGAAAGCCTTTATGCAAGCTATGCTGGAAAATGAAGGTTCGTGTAGCCCATTGTTTTAGAGGTGTGAAAGACAAAATCTGAAACAAAATAAGACACTTTAGTTCTGAAATGTACAGGGCATTTATTGCAGAAATCCAACTGTGCATTGGGGGTTTCAGTCTTGTTTAATACACACAGGGCTATCTACCTTGCAAATCAGCTTTCATCAATGCAACTTTGTCAGCAAAATAAAAAAGCAAAATATATTAAATGTTAGTAAGCAATATTGAAATGGCAGCAAACACAGAAAAAAAACATTCAGAGTAAGTGCATGCTGCTGTTAAAGAGAGAAAGAAATGCCATATAATGCAAACAAATTAATGCTAATAGCCATAAATCTTCAGGCAAGCCAAAATAAGAAAGCAGTAATTTGCCAGTATTTTACTACAAATATAATGGTTAATTGAGCTGATGACATGTAATGAAGGAAAATTAAAAGTTTTTTTTATTCTTCCTTGGATAGATATGAATGCATTAGCAGAGTAGATGCATGGCTGAATCCTGACTAGCCATTTGTCATGTTCAGATACACTGAATTCAGGAATAATTAGCACCGTCATCCTCTCTGGTCTTTCCTTTTTTAGCCCTTTCTTCGTGACTGGTGAATGAAGACTGAAATACAGACGGTGAATTACAGATTACTATGAGCTCACACACACATTTCACACTGACTCTTGACACTATAAGGAAAAATTTAGTTCTGGGATAATAAAATTCTCCTAAATTGTTTTGAGGAAGACACATCAATATCCATTTAGAACTCCCACTGCTAGTCATTGATGACAGGGCAAAACTGGTCCAAAGATTATATAAATATCTTAAATCATCCTGTGGAGAGAAATCCACTTAACCCTTCTTTCACATTACAGCTCCTTCAAAGATCTCAGTGTGGCTTTTTTTTTTTTTTTTTATTTGCCAGTATTTCAGAAAAATCCATATCAATATGATTTAAGTCAGTTCAATGGCCACTTGCTTTAAACGAGGCTCTGCTCACGGGGCCAGTCACCAGTGCGGTTAAGAATGAGGGCAGTGTACATTGCGTCCCTGTTTTGGCAAAACTCTTAACTGTTCTATTTTCTCCTGTAATAGTAATAATAATAACAACCAACAACAACACTAATTGGCTGCAGTAGCTGGACGTAGGTTAGCGATTTCCTTTTCTTTGGAGTTTTGAGCCCAGAAGTTTAAACATTTGGGCATTACATCACCCTTTCTTGAGCTGGGGATTATAATGACAGAATCCTGTAGCTGACAAGACAAGACACATTTTTTTCTCACCAGATTCTGCTACTCGGAAACTTTACAAAGATGAAGTGAAAATATCTGTAGGTGTTTAAATGTTATATATTCATGCATTTATTTACACTTTAGTTATGCAATGTTAAATTTCCTCATCTTTGCAAAAGTAGAGCAAAAGTCACAAGGACTTAAAAGTACCTAAACTGCAGGACCCTGAGGCACATTAAGAAGTGCATGGTAAAATAGACATATCTGGAAAAAATACAGATAGGATCTTGTTAAAAAAGCAAGGTAGTTTGCTTTTTATGAAATTGATTCTTAGCACTTTTGGCTTATCTATAGTAGTCATTATTTTAAAATTGCCATCAAGACTAGATTATGTGTAAGAATTTCTTTTAATAAAAGTAGGCTTTTTTTTTATAAGAACAGAGGAGGACTGCTTAATGTCAGTAAATACTATAATAGCTATCACAACAGGTTCATATTTTCCTACATATATTACAGAACTAAGCTATTTAGTAAAAACATGGTAATACACTCTTCTCAAGCACCCACCTTTTGATTCACATTCTATTTAAATATTCTAATTTATTCAGTTTTCACTGCAGTCTTTTTAATTGACTGGATTTGGTCTCTCATATTTGTCTTAAGTGAGAGCTTACATGCTATATATTACACAAAAAGCATTATTACATAGCACGTACAACGTTTTACTATATATTGCAAAAACAAATCCATATCCCACCACCAAGAATCTTCATGTATGTTAATACTTTGAAACTCTTCATATAGTTCATTTAATACACTAATTACATTATAAATGTGCATGCATGCAAACAGTGCATTTTCCTCCTACATATATTAAAACTATTTTTTTATCATTCCGTAATTTATAGAATGCTACATTAAAGTGTGTGAAGAAAATACAATGGATTTGACTGGAGAAAAATGGTGGGCTGACACTTATAACCTGGCTCTGGGGTCTGCTGTTAACAATTTGAAGAGCTAGTTAGCATGTTTATGTTTCTAGCTGTTAGTTTCTATCTGTTCTAGCCATTGAAAATTTGTCAACAAGGTGGATTCAGCCAAGTGTAAATTATATTCAATGCTCAATGATAGAGAACAGAGATGTCTGCCTGCCTGTGGCTGAAACTTTGAAATGCAAGCCTTATAACTTGCCACACCAATCCCATGTGTGGGTTTGCAAAAAAAAGTGTTCCAAAGAAAGAATTTTTAACGTGCACTTATGAGAGTAAAGTTACTGAGAAATATCAATATTTTAAGAACAAAATCCTAACAGATAAAATTAATTAGAAGTACATCATGGCTTCACAGTTTGACAGAAGAGAGAAAAAGAGCTTTCACTCCAATTTTTTTGTACCAGAAAGGTGGGGAATTCAGTCCCATAAGAGTCTGAAGAACATCAAATCCCAGTTCCTCACTTCTCAGGAAAGAATTTGCAGCAGGCTGATATCTTAACAAAGGACATATATATATACACACCCACCCGAACAGCCAGCTGTCTTTTGGATTGAGAGTAGCGGTGACTAATACTTATGGTTTTGAAATTACTTCTGCTGCTGTGTCCTGATCTCTTTGGACTCGAGATCTCAGGGGACTTACAGAGCTTACGCATCCCACTGCAGTGCGAGACAGATGCAAAACTGCTCAGCTCTGTAAGGATGGAGACAGTCCTGCCTCTACACAGCAGCAGAGGCATACAAGAGACTTCTAGGAGGCAGCTAAATTTGCAAGTGACTTAAATCATATTTTAGGTGTCAGAACATTTTTTTTGTACATCTGATCCATGGTCTGCAGACAAGACACTGACAGACAGGTCAGACAGGAAGACTTGAAGTAAAAAAGTGAGATTGAAGAGTTAACTTGGGAATATTTCATTCCGTGCTGTTAAAGATTTCCTTCTGTGGGCAAAAGACTTTTGATGAGGCAGTTCTCTGGGAGCCAGGCAGCACATCTGGTTTGACCATTTTGCTTGTGTCAGGTGATTTTGGTGTCAGAAAAAACTGACTCTCCACCAAAAAGGAGAGTTACGGCCTTTATTAAATTGTTGGTAGCTTTATTAAATTCACTGATAGCTGAGTTCTGCCACTGGTTTAAAAGGTGAACTCGCACTCTAGGCCTGTGGCAATGTTTCTTTGAAGTACATAAAATTCATTTAGAAAATTACATAATTTCAAAAGCAGCTATGAAATGTAAAATGGAATTAAGGTGTACTTTGACTCTTGGAAGGGATGGTGCAGGCATGGAACTTGCTAGCATCATTCAGAAAGCAGAATCTGATTTTCTAAACTCAGTGACAAACTAATTTATACAATTTTTTTCCATTCATGATAGAACTAAATAGACACTAAAGCTATGGAAGAATAAGTTGTGAATTTTACGTATTTCTATGTGCTATCAATAGAATTTATACTGTTAATTAAAGCTAGCAGGTAAAGAGCAAAAAATTTCCACGTGTACAAACTTACTGTAGGCACAACAAAAGAGGAGACAAAATTTATCCACCAGAAAGTTTCATCTCATGAAGCTTGAGGAAACCCCCCCATCTCTGTTTGGATTTTTTACAATGTCTATTTGCAAACTTAACAAACTTGATATCAAAATTATCAAGATTCCAACGTGAAATTCTACAGTGTCATTTACACATTTTTCTGCCCAGAGAAGAATGGCACTTGACAGAGGGGAGAACACATAAAATTGAACATAACCACAAAATTCAGAATTGTGTGAATGTGAATTATGTGCAGAGACAGAGAATTGATTTAAATTATTCCATAAATCATAGTAAAAATAACGTGGGATTAAATGACAGTTGGAAAGATAGCTAGAGATTGACACCCTTGAATTACAAATACACCTCTTCTAATTCTGCCCCCACTTAAATTCCATGATATTCCAGATGAGTCAATAAAGACATAAAAAATGTGAGATAAAATATGTTTGGCTGTTACTGATTTCAGATAGGAAGGACCATGACAATACAAATCTCAGGGGTCAGCAAAAATAGAGAATATGGAAGATTGATCTTAAAGTTTCGTAAATTAGCCTTGAATTAATCAACTCAAAATGTGTGCTGTCTCAGCATTAGCTAATGCCTAAGTGTTATGAAGATATAAAGGAGTTCATTGAAGCTAATTGCTATTGTTTCTATCATTAATTAAAATACATCAGAAATAAACAAAATACATGCAAAATATCTTGCCACTGGAGAAGGATGGAACCTACATTAAACATTTAAGAAGTTAACTCCTGCTCTTACATCAGTCTCTCTGCTGTAGGGCAGGCACCCACTTGTCTCCATAATACTAAAAACCATGTAGTCTTTATAAAAGAAACGGTCAAACAAGATCAATTAGAAGCAGGTAAAATACAGTCTCTCTATGTACAGAGTGTACATATCAACAAAATTCGGCAGGATTCACACAACACTTTCACTATGACATGAAAAAAAAAAATCAGCATATTTAATACCTTCACATCCTCTTTCTATCTGCCCATTGCAGAAGAGAGCATCTGAGATTAGATCTGGGAGCCGTCCATTCAAGTCAACTGATGCAAGGCAGCCTTGGAATCCCTCTTTTGCATGCACCAGTTTTGGCAAGGACTTATACATTTCTTTGGCCACTCCTCCAATATACAAATCACCTGTTAAGGAGAAATAAATATCAGATACAGAAAAAAAAAACCCTGTAGAATCTTTGACTTGCTTGATCTTCTGGCCTTTTTGTGCTGAATGACAAGTATCTCAGAAAAACATTCTTCAAAATAAATGTAGAAAAAAACATTGATAGCATATATGATACAAAAAGACCTTGCAGGACTATATTTTTTCAAATGCACATGTGGACTTCACATTTGTATGACCAATTACTTAGAAGTACCTGGACATGTCTTTTATGTGCCAGCTCATATATACAGAAAATATGCATCTGTTTCTCAGATGAGGATTCAGTTACAGAATCTCCATCTAGAAATGCATCTAGCACTGATTCATGTTGTTAGCACAAGCAGAGAACCTGTCCACAGATCATCCCGATTATGGATCCAGCACGCTGAGATAAAAGGCAATAAGCGGAGCACCAAGATCCACCTAAAGTCCATATATCCAGAATCATCCATTTAAAAACATGCCAAGAAATAAAGGGTGTAGGGACACATCTAAGGAGAAACTTAGTGATACCATGGTTAAGCGTGAAATTATTTGATTCTCCCCACCAAAATTCATATCCTGTGTCAGTCATGTGAGAACAGGGGGAGTTAGTTGCCTTTAAAATGGCAATCTGCACATTGAGTAAACAGAATTTTATTGCCAAAAATAGTTCTGACGACAGACATACATTATAAACAGCTCTCTTTGATGAACCTCAGGCAACCTACTCAGGACTGACTTTGCAAGGACATAACTATAACTTTCCTCAAAATACCGAGGGAGGGGATGCTTTTTTGTTTTAAAACAATTCAGGCTATGCCTTTCTTTCATGTGTTTGGTGTCTCTGGCAGGCAGAACAGCGATCTTTCAAACTAACATAACCTACCTCCCTAAAGCTTGCCTTAAGTGTCAGACTATAGGTTTAACGAGGTGCTTTCCATACCTGTTGCTGAAGACATGCTGTAGAAATGAATCTGAGCTTTGCTCAGCCAGAGAGGGGAAGCATGCTCAGCGTGAACACAACCCCAGCTACAAGGCTTCAGTCCTTCTCCTGGCAGGCAAGATGTGCTTGATTCTTTGTGTCACAGACAGAAAGGAATGAAACCATGGTTTCCTACATCTTGCATGAGTTCACTGTCCTGCTCTGTTATTCTCTAACTTGGAGAAAGCAGCCATCTTTGCAAGCCTGGTGGGAGTGCTCTGAGCACGCCTGCAGTCTGGCCCATTTAGGCACACAGAGAGAGGACATCTTTGCTTCTGAGAAGCACGGAACCTGTTTGAAAGAAGGTGCTTACGGGGGCATCCGACTCTCAAGCATCACTCAGTGACAAAATTCTTACTCTAACTATGCAAGCACTGATGACATGTTTTGTGCTAGCATAAATTTTCAATAGACTATCTGAATATACATTCTAATCTACGTTGGGCTTTCCAGTATGTCCCCCAGTCTGGATGATTTTGGAGCCTAGGCTACGGGATGTACCAGAGCATTTCTGCATCACCTCAAATGCAAAATTGTTCATTTCCTAAGTGTTTACCAAGCTTTGCAGGCAGATTTTATAGCAACAGAACTCGGAATGTACTAGCTATCATCACTACCCCGTGTGGCTAATTTTAATCTCCCTCTTATTGATACAAGCAGCAGTCACACTTTTTCCTGGTTCTCCTGGCATACTTGCTTGTTCGCAAGGGAGTGCAAGTTAGTGCTTTTTTGCAATGGTTTACAGTTTGTCTGCAAGGAAATGGCCCTAAACAAACAAATGTCTATCAGACTGCGAAAAATTTTTAGTCTCGACATACCAGCCCTAAAACTCAACTCTATTTGAATTAGTGAAATGGAGATAAAAAGCTTAGGAATGTGTATATTATTAATTTTATAAGCCATCCAACCAAAAGTCTTAGCAACCATTACAGTATCATGTACTAAGAAACCTCAAGCTTTCTCCATTCCATGTACATAATTTGAAAAATAAGATATTGCTTTCCTCTAGAGCTTTGAGGTACAGTATAAATCTCAGAAGCATGATATTAGACATAACAGATTAAAATATGGTGATCCATATGTTCCCACAAATGGGATGTAATTCATTCATAGCAGAAAAACTTCTGTACTTTTCAACCAGCTGAACTGGAAACAAAATAAAAACTCTTGCCTCATGATAAAGGCTCTTCATCTTTTTCTCAGGTGGAACATCTAGAAAGTAAAACCCTTCCAGGTTTCCTGAAGTTCTGTGCTTTCAGTCACTGTCAGCACAGAATACAGAGATATAATTCATCTCAACTGGTTCCAACAGACTTAAACAGGGAAACTCCAGAGAACAATACTAAGAAAATCACACCTATACTAAAAAAGTTTAAATTTGCTCTATTGGACATGACACATGCAACCTCTTCTTAAACCTCCCAACATGTTTGCTGTCCAAACAACCATTTTTACTCTGTGATTGGTTAAACATTTAAAGCCGCGAACTTTCAAATTGATCTCCTGCTAATTCCTAAGATCCGTCCCTCACGCGTATTGAGATTGCTGTGTACAGTCATGGAGCAATTGTCAGTTATGATTAATGGCTAGGAGAAGACCAGGTCACTGTGCCAGCATATGAACCCAAACTCAGAATATCTGCTCCTGAAAATACACACTGGAATATTTTCAACTGGGTATCATATGCACGGAAGTACAATACACTAAGTTGAGTCTAAACAAGCTGTAACTCTACTGTTTACTTACAGTTCCTTAAGACTATTGATAATTAGAACTGATCATTATTGAAGGTACAGTTTCCACAAAGACATGTTCTGGGTAGTTTTTTAACTTTGTTGGTGTTCAAAATAACTTTATTTCTGTTTTTGCACTAGCTAATACACTACACTAATACATATCATATGTATTGAGCAGCCATACTAAGTATTAGACTTCACATTTTATAAAGTATATACAAGTATTTTTATCACCATGGGCTAAACCTTTCCCAGATTTAATATCAAATGTGGTTTGAGATTGCTGCTGATGGCGTAAAACCACACTTTCTCTCAGAGACAAAATTTTATTAAGGGATAGGCTCTGAAATTAAAAGTCAGATTTTTTTTTTTTTTAAAGCTATTTAAATTTTTTCACTTGGTTACTTTTTCACATCTGCCATCACAAATGTTTTGCATAGCTACTTTTATTTCAGTTAATCACATGCTTCATTTTCACATTCATCTCAATGAAGGAAGTAGTTTCCTACAAAACTTAATCCATCTCAATCCATTAGAAATTTAGACAAGAGAGAATTGCAGAAAATATTGTTAATGAAAATATTTGTATATTGAACATGCATTAAAAAAGATCAGAAAAGATAAAGCTTGTCCCTGATCCCACTAAAAGAGATCAGAGGAATTAACATAGTATGATAGAGATTCCCAGGTTTTCTCCTCTTTTTCACTTCTTAGCTAAGAACAGCTTTACTACTGGAAACGTTACATGCTCTAAAACAGGATTAATCCCTTGTTGTGTATCTGCCTACTTACCCTTATGAATTACACGTAAGTTATTTTATTAAGTAAGGGATCACAGTTCATCAGATCAATAGTATGAGATCACGACACTATCTAAACTAGCTGCAGCCTAAATGTAATACTATTGCAATACTGCTACCACTGAAAATGTGTCACCATTTCAAGAGCTGAGAACAATGGAAAATGCAATTCTTCTACTTCTTTCTTTCTTTCAACAGATGAGCATTTTTTTAAGTACATATAGAAGGGGATATACTTGCATTACAGTGCTAACCATAGTTTCTGGAACTAAAGTTTAGCTGTTACCTTTTGTGCATGTATTTTCTTCTGAAGGTTTTTTTGTTTTTTTTTTTTTTATTTTTAAATGTATTCCTGAAAAAGACTCTATTTTTTTTTTTATCCTGGCTTTCCTTAATTTATAATGGAAAATAATCAATTTATATAAAATATATCAACTGGCATAAACAAAGTAGCAGGTAGTAAAGAAACGGGTGAGGGAATAGAGCGCTCCAAGATTTCCTTCTGATCTCTGGAGAATCCTCAAATAAAACACTTTATTTGAGAGCAGGTACTCCATAATCTCACAACTCTCTCCTTACTTGTATTAGGAGTCAGTACACAGAGTTATCCCCTTTTATTTAGAGAGAGAGGATTGTATCCTGTCTTCATTTTTTTCAGGCCAAAAAAGCATGCTAGAGTGTTTCTCACTGGCATGTTCATTGCAGACCAGAGGAATCAGATGGCGAGTAGCATTCAGAGCTAAACCTATAAATCATGGCAATAATAGTACTAGTCAGTTATATCATAAGCACTGGCAAAGAAAAGAGTTTAGCGGGTACAATTTATATCTTTTACAGGTAATGAAGACCTTCATTTATTCCAAAAGGAGCTTTCCTATTTACACCTATGTATCTCTTTTCTGACTTAGAGCTGATTTGTACTTTGATGAACAAGTGAATTTAACACAGAAACAAATTGCTAGCTAATAAAGGAACCCAAGTTCTCAATGTATTCATTATTGGAATCACACTTATGAAAAAAGGCACAGAACACCACAAAACAGTGAGTCACACACAACTGTTGGTGAAACAAATACTGCCAAATCCGTCTGTATAACTCATCTTTTTTTATCCCAAGTCTCTACATTTCTTCATAATAAGAACTTTGCAAATGCTAAACAAAATTAATGTAAAATAAAAACTGAAGATGCTGTTCTATTTATTTTTTTTCTCTGAACAAGTAACAGAAGTATCTTATTATTTGGCACTACTGACATTGCTGACAGGTCACCCCATAGACTTTCCTCCTTTCCTGACTTATATCCACACCCAAGAATTCTTACACGATACATGCTGGTGGCAAAAACTATTCATTTCATTTAATGACTACCATTATCTTCAAGAACTAGTAGAGAGGGAATTATTATCCACATTTGTAATGGTAACAGCAACATGCAAATACTGCTCAGGGAACAAGTAGTTTAACCAGGATACAGTTA